ACTAGACTATAGACTAGACTATAGACTAGACTATAGACTAGACTATAGACTAGACTATAGACTAGACTATAGACTAGACTATAGACTAGACTATAGACTATAACTATAGACTAGACTATAGACTAGACTATAGACTAGACTATAGACTAGACTATAGACTAGACTATAGACTAGACTATAGACTAGACTATAGACTAGACATAGACTAGACTATAGACTACTAGACTAGACTATAGAACTAGACTATAGACTAGACTATAGACTAGACTATAGACTAGACTATAGACTAGGACTAATAGACTAGAATAATAGACTATAGACTAGACTATAGACTAGACTATAGACTAGACTATAGACTAGACTATAGACTAGACTATAGACTAGACTATAGACTAGACTATAGACTAGACTATAGACTAGACTATAGACTAGACTATAGACTAGACTATAGACTAGACTATAGACTAGACTATAGACTAGACTATAGACTAGACTATAGACTAGACTATAGACTAGACTATAGACTAGACTATAGACTAGACTATAGACTAGACTATAGACTAGACTATAGACTAGACTATAGACTAGACTATAGACTAGACTATAGACTAGACTATAGACTAGACTATAGACTAGACTATAGACTAGACTATAGACTAGACTATAGACTAGACTATAGACTAGACTATAGACTAGACTATAGACTAGACTATAGACTAGACTATAGACTAGACTATAGACTAGACTATAGACTAGACTATAGACTAGACTATAGACTAGACTATAGACTAGACTATAGACTAGACTATAGACTAGACTATTAGACTATAGACTAGACTATAGACTATACTATAGACTAGACTATAGACTAGACTATAGACTAGACTATAGACTAGACTATAGACTAGACTATAGACTAGACTATATAGACTAGACTAGACTATAGACTAGACTATAGACTAGACTATAGACTAGACTATAGACTAGACTATAGACTAGACTATAGACTAGACTATAGACTAGACTATAGACTAGACTATAGACTAGACTATAGACTAGACTATAGACTAGACTATAGACTAGACTATAGACTAGACTATAGACTAGACTATAGACTAGACTATAGACTAGACTATAGACTAGACTATAGACTAGACTATAGACTAGACTATAGACTAGACTATAGACTAGACTATAGACTAGACTATACTAGACTATAGACTAGACTATAGACTAGACTATAGACTAGACTATAGACTAGACACAGTCACGGTGTATTTAAAACAAAGAAAGAAACTTTATTTTCTACGCAAGGACATGTTATGAGTGTTAAAAATATTGAAAATTCATTTTCATTTAGTTAATATAACAGTTTTTCTTTTTGCTATTATTGTTTTGTTATTTTATACTTTGGCAAATATTTATTATTGTATGTGTAAACATGTTTGAATGCCAACTGATGCTGAGGACTAGCAGGAATCGGAAGTAGCAGTATATATTAGCTTTTTGAAATGTATGTATATGTATGTATAAGTAATGAAAACTGTTGCTTTCTTATTAAGAGAAAACAACAAAAAATATTATATATTGACTATAGTTTATCTTCACGCATCAGCAACAAAACTTGTTAGTTTTTTGGTCAAAATGGCATAAATTAATAAAAGGGAATATGCAATATAATTCATAGTTATTGCTTAATTATTGCATTAATGGTTTGTAATAATGAAAAGAGAATCCAAAAGTTATATTTTGATATAAAAAATACTATATCGTTTTAAAAACATGCATTGTAATAAACCTTTACAAGGTAGTTATCTCTTCATTCATTTCGCTTGGGAAGAAATTTTATTACCCCGTAATTAAACCATTTCTTAATTAAATATTGCACTCGCTGGCACTTATTTTATTTATCCTGTTTCATCTCTAATCTATTCTATCATTTGCATCAATGTTTTCCAGCCTTACAGAGCCTGCGGTGTTCGAATAGTTTATTTACAAGAGTTTATTGAATTACTTTTTCTTCCAATATTTTTTCTGTTTTCGCTTTCAATTTATATTCATTTGCCTTCTTTGCCACACGGTAGGTGGCAAAAGATTCATAGGAATGTAATTTCTTACTAATGAATAATAATGAAATTAAATGTTAGATAATTGCTTTATTAATCGCTGAAGACATTTGTAAATCTAATACTTTCTTTACTTCATCCCCCAAAAGAAACTTGTGGTAAATATGTTAAAGAGCTATTTAATTACAAGTAAAATATTAAATTATGAGTTGTTAATTGATATAATAATTATGATAATTGGGATGGTCCTTAACTGGAAAAAGTTAGAAAGTGAAAGGGATGGGGTAACGAAATAAGAGAACTAACTAACTAACTAACTAACTAACTAACTAACTAACTACTAACTAACTACTACTAACTAACTAACTAACTAACTAACTAACTAACTAACTAACTAACTAACTAACTAACTACTAACTAACTAACGAACTAACTAACTAACTAACTAACTAACTACTAACTAACTAACTAACTAACTAACTAACTAACTAACTAACTACTACTAACTAACTAACTAACTAACTAACTAACTAACTAACTAACTAACTAACTAACTAACTAACTAACTAACTACTACTAACTAACTAACTAACTAACTAACTAACTAACTAACTAACTACTACTAACTAACTAACTAACTAACTAACTAACTAACTAACTAACTAACTAACTAACTAACTAACTAACTAACTAACTAACTAACTAACTAACTAACTAACTAACTAACTAACTAACTAACTAACTACTACTAACTAACTAACTAACTACTAACTAACTAAATAACTAACTAACTAACTAACTAACTAACTAACTAACTAACTAACTAACTAACTAACTAACTAACTAACTAACTAACTAACTAACTAACTAACTACTACTAACTAACTAACTAACTAACTAACTAACTAACTAACTAACTAACTAACTAACTAACTAACTAACTAACTAACTAACTAACTAACTAACTAACTAACTAACTAACTAACTAACTAACTACTAACTAACTAACTAACTAACTAACTACTAACTAACTAACTAACTAACTAACTAACTAACTACTAACTAACTAACTACTAACTAACTAACTACTAACTAACTAACTAACTAACTAACTAACTAACTAACTAACTAACTAACTAACTAACTAACTAACTAACTAACTAACTAACTAACTAACTAACTAACTAACTAACTAACTAACTAACTAACTAACCTACTAACTAACTAACTAACTAACTAACTAACTAACTAACTAACTAACTAACTAACTAACTAACTAACTAACTAACTAACTAACTACTACTAACTAACTAACTAACTAACTAACTAACTAACTAACTAACTAACTAACTAACTAACTAACTACTAACTAACTAACTAACTACTAACTAACTAACTAACTAACTAACTACTACTAACTAACTAACTAACTAACTAACTAACTAACTACTAACTAACTAACTAACTAACTAACTAACTAACTAACTAACTAACTAACTAACTAACTAACTAACTAACTACTAACTAACTAACTAACTAACTAACTAACTAACTAACTAACTAACTAACTAACTAACTAACTACTAACTAACTAACTAACTAACTAACTAACTAACTACTAACTAACTAACTACTAACTACTAACTAACTAACTACTAACTAACTAACTACCTAACTGACTGACTGACTAACTAACTAACTAACTAACTAACTAACTAACTAACTAACTAACTAACTAACTAACTACTAACTAACTAACTAACTAACTAACTAACTAACTAACTAACTAACTAACTAACTAACTAACTAACTAACTAACTAACTAACTAACTAACTAACTAACTAACTAACTACTAACTACTAACTAACTACTAACTAACTAACTAACTAACTAACTAACTACTAGACAACTAACTAACTAACTAACTAACTAACTAACTAACTAACTAACTAACTAACTAACTAACTAACTAACTAACTAACTAACTAACTACTAACTAACTAACTAACTAACTAACTAACTAACTAACTAACTAACTAACTAACTACTAACTAACTAACTAACTAACTAACTAACTAACTAATAACTAACTAACTACTAACTAACTACTAACTAACTAACTAACTAACTAACTAACTAACTAACTAACTAACTAACTAACTAACGAACTACTAACTAACTAACTAAATAACTAAACTAACTAACTAACTAACTAACTAACTAACTAACTAACTAACGAACTACAACTAACTTAACTAACTACTAACCTATAACTACAACTAACTAACTAACTAACTAACTAACTAACTAACTAACTAACTAACTAACTACTACTAACTAACTACTAACTAACTAACTAACTAACTACACTACTAACTAACTAACTACTACTAACTAACTACTAACTACTAACTAACTAACTAACTAACTAACTAACTAACTAACTAACTAACTAACTAACTAACTACTAACTAACTAACTACTAACTAACTAACTAACTAACTACTAACTAACTAACTAACTAACTAACTAACTACTAACTAATTAACTAACTAACTAAATACTACATTATTCATAAAATATTGTTCATGAAATTTTGGGCTTTGATCGAAAGTGGAATTATTTTTCCTAATTTTTTCTTCAAAAACGATAAGTGACAACTTTCTCGGAATGAAATCACCTTAAATTTTCAAAGTGGAGTTGACAATAGTTTAAAGCTATTCTTTTTGTAAGTTTTTATCGATTTACATATTTACAAGTAATAATTCAACTTTCGATCGGAATGGAATTCTGTGACAGGCCTGTTTGTTTGACTGTTATAATTTGGCATAAATATTTTGTTAATTTTCTTTTTAAAATTAACCTGTTCTTCACCTTGTAGAATATACAAATATAAATATACCATATAAATAATAACAATTTCTCCTACTTACCGAACGTTCGCCAACGTATGCCTTCGATTCTTCAAGTATCGACTGTGATACTTCTGCAGATCACCAATTGAACCCTGTTCGGCTTGCATTTTGCTGGCCGGTAATAACTGTGAACTAGACGATTGTTGTGTAGCGAGAGCTGTCGCCGATGATGATGCTAAGCGAGTTGCTTGAGCTGCCGCTATAGCAGCACTGACCGTAGCAGCACTACTACTATTATTCGAGGATGAAGCTAAAGTTTCACTAGAGTTGGCAACACCACAAGTACCGCCGCTGCCGCCACCAACTGGTACTAGACTACTGTTCGGAGCAAGTATAATACGTGACCAACCGGATTTGTGTTGTTTGCGAAATTTGTGTTTGATTCTGGGAGAAGGAGTGGAGGTATTGGTAAATTCTTGTGGTGTACAACCACCACCGGTTATGGAAGATGTAGTTGCTGTAGTTACAGCAGTGGCGGACAGGGAAGTACAACTGTCACTACTACCACTAGGATTGGCCGTAAAAGGGGAGAGCTGATCGAGTTGTGATTGTTGGTTTTGCTGTTGTTGTTGTTGGGTGGGTTCGGTTAGATTATCGTCGTCTTGATTGGCGCTGTGTTGGCGTTGTAGTAACTGTTCAGACTCTTCTTCTTCCTTGATGTGTGGCAACGGTGAAGTCTGTGGCGGTGGACAACAACAACGCGATGGTGTCGACGATGCCGTTGAGGACGAGGTAGTTGTTGTTGATGTTGTAGTATTAGCGGTGGCTATGACCGCTGTTACCCCCGATGAAGCAGCTGTAGTCAAAGCTGGCAGCGGCGAAAGAGGTGATGTTGGTGTTGTTGCTTGTATGGTGGAAGCAGTTGGTGTATTTATTGTTTTTCCAACAATATTATTCTGCTCCACTATGGATGATGATTGATATACAAAATTACTATTTGTATTCGGTGGTGTTAAAGGTGATACTTGAGTTGTTGTTGTTTTGTTGGCTACAAAAGTTACTTGTGTATTTGCAGCTGTAGTAGTGGACAGCAACGAGGTTGTAGTCGAGAGTAGGGAACTGGCTGAAGCAGATCCAGCAGCCAGTTGTAATACGGCTGTTGTGGGCGAAATGCTAGTGTCACTTAGAGTTTCCGGTTCAGCCTTGCGTGGCAAAATACCCGAAGCTAATTTGGCAGCTGCTATATCGGCAGCACTGATGTGTTGTTGCAAATCCTCTTCCTCGTCGTTGATAAGGGTCTTGAGCGAGATGGGTGTGGTGGCTGAGGTGCCAATAGTATCGGCCAATGAATGTTTCTTTACCGCTGCAATTAATGATTCGTTACCGTCCGTTGTCAATTCAATGGCTGACTTACCCGAACGCTTGCGTTTTACTGTACTGTCGGCCTTTGTCGAGGTCGAATTGTTCGGTGGTACGGGCGTATGGGGTGGACTTGTGGCGGGGGCTGCCGAGCCGCTGCCCCCGCGACAAGGAAGGCAACAACGAAACACTGTGCTACTAAAACACTTTGTGGTTTTCGATTTACGTTTTTTGTTCGTACATGTATTGTTGGTAGAGGCAGACGAGGAGATGCAGCTGCCGTTACCAAAACTATTGCGCTGAGCGCTGTTAACGCCTGCCACACTACTGCGCACACTGCCACTATTATTACTGCTACTGAGTATGCTGAGGGTGCCACTGAAACGCTAAAAAAATAAAGAAAAACTTAATTTTCGTTTGAAAACTAAATACGTAAGTATAATTAAATTTTTAAAAATTCCTATAGTATTGTTGTTGTTGCTGTTTAATATCCTTTTCGTTTGCTTTAAATTATATTTTCTAATTTGTTTTAATTAATTTAACCTTGCCAAATCCTCCTCCTGCTTGACCCTTAGTATTACTAGTCCATTCATTATTTTGTTGCTGTTGCAATTCATATTTATGTTGATTATTTTTTTTAGTTTTTTGTGAGGCAAGTTTTGCCAGACGCATGGTCTGCTTTTATATATTTTAATATTTGTTTGATTTTAATTTTATTTAAAAACTTTTGGCAACTTTTTTGTATGTTTTTAAAATTTATTTAGGATTTTGTTCTCAAGTGTTTCATGACTGTTTTTTTGTTTGTCAAATTAGTGGAAAATATCAGCAAATTATCTGCAAAGAGAAGAAAAATTTGAAAAAGTTAGTTTTAGTTTTAGAATTATGAATACAAATTTTTAAATACATATGCTATATAATTGAGCATGTTTAAAGGGTATTACATTTTTTAATGATTTTTTATGAACAATGTTAAATAATATTAATAATATCTATGATATCGGAATATTAAGTTTACTAGTTCCTAGTTAGTTTACTTGTTTAGAAAATAAATCGCATATTTATCTGGGTTATGAAAATATACTGAGCTAAAATTGGTAAATTCCTTTTAGTTACCATATTTTAGCATATTAGAACTCTGAACTAGAGATAACTATTATCACTGAACTAGAACTCAACTAGAATTGAACTAGAAGTGAACTAGAACTGAACTAAAACTGAACTAGAACTGAACTAGAACTGAACTAGAACTGAACTAGAACTGAACTAGAACTGAACTAGAACTGAACTAGAACTGAACTAGAACTGAACTAGAACTGAACTAGAACTGAACTAGAACTGAACTAGAACTGAACTAGAACTGAACTAGAACTAGAACTGAACTAGAACCGAACTAGAACTGAATTAGAACTGAACTAGAACTGAACTAGAACTGAACTAGAACTGAACTAGAACTGAACTAGAACTGAACTAGAACTGAACTAGAACTGAACTAGAACTGAACTAGAACTGAACTAGAACTGAACTAGAACTGAACTAGAACTGAACTAGAACTGAACTAGAACTGAACTAGAAACTGAACTAGAACTGAACTAGAACTGAACTAGAACTGAACTAGAACTGAACTAGAACTGAACTAGAACTGAACTAGAACTGAACTAGAACTGAACTAGAACTGAACTAGAACTGAACTAGAACTGAACTAGAACTGAACTAGAACTGAACTAGAACTGAACTAGAACTGAACTAGAACTGAACTAGAACTGAACTAGAACTGAACTAGAACTGAACTAGAACTGAACTAGAACTGAACTAGAACTGAACGAGAACTGAACTAGAACTGAACTAGAACTGAACTAGAACTGAACTAGAACTGAACTAGAACTGAACTAGAACTGAACTAGAACTGAACTAGAACTGAACTAGAACTTGCTGAACTAGACTAGAACTGAACTAGAACTGAACTAGAACTGAACTAGAACTGAACTAGAACTGAACTAGAACTGAACTAGAACTGAACTAGAACTGAACTAGAACTGAACTAGAACTGAACTAGAACTGAACTAGAACTGAACTAGAACTGAACTAGAACTGAATTAGAGCTAGTGCTTTTTCCTACTTTTTGCTTCACCTTTTCATGTATATAAAAAGTAATCCTTAAAATGGATTTGAAAGTACTTTCGCAGTTATTTTCACCAAAATTTTACTTAAAAGTCTGAATAATTACAGGAAATTTAAAAGAGAGGATTTTGAAATTAAAACATAATAAAATAACTATTTTAAAAATTATTCATATAATAACAAATATATTAAACAAATATATTTATTATTTTAAATATTTATTTAATGGCGAACGTATTTAAATTATATATGACATAAACTTTAAATACACTTGCGTATTTTTGACTTATTAATTAAACAAATAAACATTTAATAACAGATTAATATAGCAGCTAAAAACACTTAATAAATATAAAGTTTTTATTTAATTTAAAAAACTTTAACACGCATAGTAAATATTTAGTTAAATGTTTTCCTTAAAGCAGCAATTAGAAAACAAAGAACTCTTTTTACAAACATATAAGGAGTGTTGAATTTTAAGAAATTAAATTAGTTTTGTGCTAGACCTCAAATAAACAAAGTCTAACTTTAGTTGATATTTTAAAGTCAGTAGTTCAAAAAAAAATATATATATACAAAATGAAATTCTCTTTAAAATTGGCCACCTTGTTCCTGTTCGTAAGCTTATGCACCTCTTATGCGGCTAGTTTACCGGTAACAAGTGAAACCGGAACTGGAGAAATTGATACAGGCTCCAGTGGCGTTGGTACTGAGACCGGTTCCAGTGGTAGTGGTGAAACTGCTACTGGTTCAAGTGGTAGTGGAGAAACTGGATCTAGCGGTAGTGGTGAAACTGGCAGCAGTGATGAAATTGTAAGCGCTGATGAGGAGGAAGAAAATGATGATAGTGAAGAACCAGAAGCTGATTTGAGTGATGATGAAGTTGCCGAAGAAGAAACTGCTGAAGATGAAGTTGATGAAGATGAAGTTGATGAAGATGAGGCTGATGTTGAAGAAGATGAACAAGATGTTGATAATGATGAATTGGAAATGGATGAAAATGAAATCAATGATGATGACGTTGAAGACGATTTAGAAAATGATGATGAAGAAGAATCTGATGAAACCGATGAGTCCGCTGTTTAAGTTCTTTGTTACATTTCATAAAAACTTCTTAAAATATATTTGATTTATAAAATGTAAGAAAGAGATCACGTTATTGTTGGAAATACATTTTTTAAATAATTACAATAATTCCTATTAGATTTTGATTTCAATTGGATTATTATGTTTATTTGTAAGAGTTAAATCTAGATAAGAACTATTTATACTAGTTCTGAAAGTTAATCAAAAAATCGAAAAAGGAGATAAATTCCCTTTAAAGAACTCATGAAGTAATTGAAGTCCTACGATATGATTATGATATACTAACTTAAGAATGTGTCAATCGTTTTAGATTATATCGCTGGTCTTGAATAAATAGAAAAAAATTTCAGTAAACTTCTCAAAGATTTCAAAATGTCGGAAATTCCGAAATTCCCAAGGCATTTAATTAAGTTTTAATAACTCCTGACAGGTTTAGGATTAGCGTATGTATGTATTAATAGTAAGAATGATTCTTAATCTCCATATTCAGTGATGTAGTTTGATACCTTCTAAGGACTTATCAGGTTATAAAATTGTTGGTGTAGTCTTGGAAGATATCTGTAAACGTCCGCCATGGATATTGTAAAGAATCAAAAATCATATTATTACTTCTCAAAATGTTTCTAGTTTGAAACATATATAATTTCTTTGAACTCTGGCGCAATAATAGTGTTTATATAGTAATGAAATATCCACTGTTCTTAATTTTGACACGTGCTGTCAAATATTTGTAATAAAAGTGTTAAAAAGCTATTGTTTATTTTTATTTATTCTTTACTTGAATAAAAGGCAAATATATATTATGTATTTTTTGATTTCCTCTACTTTATTGTTACTAAGTGAATTTACAAATTATGTTTATTTAAACAATAAAAACATTTTTCAAAATTAGTACATTATATAAATATTTAAAATTTAGTTAAAATATGTATTAAAAAACATTAATAACAGGTATAAATGTATAGACGGATATGGCCGCCCATATATTTTCCTACACCAGTATGTTAATTGATTTTTACACCGTTTACCTTCGTGAGAGACACAATATAATTTTCTCACCCTACAAAGTATATATATTCTGGATCCTTATAGATAGCGGAGTCATTTAAGTTATGTCCGTTTGTCTGTCTGTTGAAACCAATTTTCTGAAAACCGCAAATATCTTCGGGATCCAAATCGTCAATAATTCTGTCAACAATGCTTTTGAGAAGTTTCCTATTGAAAATCAGCCAAATCAATCCATAAATATCTGAGATATGGGCAAAATTTCAAGAGATAAAGCAGTTATATTTGGGTAATGCAGTTTATATTTGTTTGATGGTAGTAATACAGTGAATTCGTTGATGGATAGGTAAAACAGTTAATATTTGTTTCAGTGCTAATACAGCTTATATTTGTTTGTTTGTATGTTATGTGTGACATGTGTGGATAGATACAAGTCGATGCAAAATGCGTCATGTTATAAGTGTTTATAAGTATCATTTATAATCATGTTATAAAACTAAGTTTTGCCGATTTTTATTGAGTTACTAGAACATTTAACATAATTATGAGCTCAAAAGCCCTATTCGGGGGTACGGTTGTATGGGGGCTAGGCTAAATAATGGACCGATTTTAACCATTTTCAATAGGCCTTGGTTCAAGGCCTATTGCACACAAGCTTTGCATGGACACACAGACAGACGACAGACAGACAGACAGATAGACAGACAGCCAGACAGACAGACAGACAGACAGATAGACAGACAGACAGACAGACAGACAGACAGACAGACAGACAGACAGACAGACAGATGGATGGACGGACTTACAGACGGACATATCTAAATCATCTCAGAAAGTGATTCTGCGACTATTTGTATACTTTAAGGTTAGTGTAGGACCAATATTTATAGGTGTTACAAATATCAGCTCAAACTCATAATAGCTTCTCCTCTATAGTGGTGTAAGGTATACAAATTGACAGATAGACAGGCAGACGGACAGACGGATATAGCTAAATCAACTCAGAAAGTGATAAGGTTAGTGTAGGACCAATATTTTTGGGTGTTATAAATACAGCTCAAACACATAATAGCTTCTCCTCTATAGTGGTGTAGGGTATACAAATATTATCGTACATTACGAAATGATTTTGTTATGAAACAAGGTTTTTGCTTTCGTTAAACTGAAAATAAAGCAAAATTTCTTATTATATACGAAAAACAAAATATTACAAAAGGTTTTTGTAATAGTAGAAAAGAGTTTGGTTAAATAATAATTCGTATAATGCATGAAATTTTCATAAATATTACGATTTTTTTCATAAAGTTAAAAACGGATTATTTTCAGTGCATAAAACAAATGACTTTTGGTTGCTATCTCTAAAAATGTTGTACACAATGCCACGTACAACTTAAATCATTTATCACGTGTCAACAGGATTTTTTTATTTATTTACTATTTTTATACTATTACTTTTAAAAATTCATTAAAGAAATACATATTTTTTAATAAAACCAATTGTAAATAAATAACACAAGTAACAAATATTTGTCTTAAGAAAACAATTTTAAAAGAATAAACCAATTTTTACAATAATTTAAGTTATTGCTGTGACTATTTAGTAATTAGTTGTTAAATAGATTTCAACAAGGTTGTGTTGGCAGGAAATCTATTAATTACAAACACATACATAAATCAAAATGCGATTGTCTTTGAAATTAGTACCATTAATCCTTTTAATTGGCATCTGGATTGACATTACACAATGTGCCAAAATACCAGAAAGTACAAAGACAGAGGGCAGTGGAAGTGGATTAGCTGAAACTAGTGAATCTGCTGTGGGAGATAGTGATGAAGGGAGTGAAACTGATGATTCAGACTATACGGAAATTAGTTCAAGTGGAGATGATTTGAGTGCTACTGGCTCTGATGATAATGATGAATTAGCATCAGGAACAACAGGATTGGACGACCAAGAATTTGGTGAAACAGGGTTAACTGGTGAATCCGATACAAATGAAGAAACTGGTGAAACAGGAACGTTTAGTAGTGGAGAAATAGAAGAAACTGGCCTTACTGGTGGTGAGGAAGTAAGTGGCTCAGGATCATTTGGTAGTGATGAAGACGGATTAATGGATAATGAAGAAATTAGTGAAACCGGATTTACTAATGAAGGAGAATCTAATGAAACAGAAGATGGATTGACTGGAATTGAAGAAATTAGTGAATCAGGATCATTTGGTAGTTTAGAAGATGGATCAAATGAAACTGATGAAACTGGAACTGGCAATATAGCATCAAATGAAGCCGGTTCAGGTTCAACTGCTGATAGCGAATCTGACTTAAGCGCTGTAGGTGATAGTGGTTCCAGTGCTAGTGGCAGTAGCGCCTCGGGTTCAAGTGCTAGTGGTAGTAGCGCCTCTGGTTCAAGTGCTAGTGGCAGTAGCGCCTCGGGTTCGAGTGCAAGTGGTAGTAGTGCTACAGGAATTAGTTCAAGTGGTAGTGGAGATTTCTTTGAGAAACCTTTAAATACTCCCAATAAGAAGAAAGCAACTACTAAGAAACCAGTTAATAAGAAACCCCTTAACAAAAAGCCTGCTAATAAGAAACCAGTTAATAAGAGACCTATTGGTAAGAAACCTGTTAATAAAAATCCCGCTAATAAGAGACCTGTTAATAAAAACCCCGCTAATAAAAGACCTGGTAATAAAAATCCTGCTAATAAGAGACCTGGTAATAAGAATCCAAACAAAAAGAAACCAGTTAATAAAAATCCGGTGAATAAAAAACCTGTTAATAAGAATCCCGCTAATAAGAAACCTATCAACAAAAAACCTAATGCTAACAAATTACCAAATAAACAAAACAATAATAAAAAGCCCGCTAATAATAAGCCTAATGCAGGAAAGCCAGCCAACAAAAAGCCTGTCAATCAAAATGCTGCTGCAAAAAATCCCGCTAATAAAAAACCAGCAAACAAAAAACCTGCAAATCAAAATACAGCAGCTAAGAAGCCGCCAGTTGTTAAAAACCCTAATAGCCCCGCAGCCAAGCAACCAGCAAACAAAAAGCCCGCTCCCAATAAGCCTGCAGCAAAGCAACCCGAGACCAAAAAACCTGCTCCCAAAAATCCAGCAGCCAAAAAACCATTACCCAATAAACCTGCCGCCAATAAGCCTGTCAACAAAAAACCAGCACCAAATAAAGCTGTCACCAAGAAGCCCACACCAAAAAAGGCCGCTAACCAAAATCAAAATCCCCGAAAAGTGACCAACAATAAAGCGAATGCCAATAAACAGGCGGTTAAAAAACCTGCAAACAAAAATCCTGGTGCCAAAAAAGTACAACAACAAGGTTAAATGACTTTAATATAGATAGATCTTAATTTTTAATGATTTTTACCAAATTAAAACTTTTTTACAAAATATTTTGAAATAAAAACAATTTTGAAAAAAGTAAGAAACCAGTTAATATAGAATATATAGTCTTGACTATAAAATCGAGTATAGTCTGGACTATATAATAGACTATAGTCTGAACTATAGAATAGACTAAAGTCTGAACTATAGAATAGACTATAGAATATACTATAGTCTGGACTATAGAATAGACTATATTCTGAACTGTAGAATAGACTATAGTCGGAACTATAAAATATATAGTCTGAACTAAAGAATAAACTATAGTCTGGACTACAGAATAGAATATATAGTCTTGACTATAGAGTCGAATATAGTCTGAACTACAGAATAGACTATAGTCTGGACTATAGAATAGACTATAGTCTCGACTATAGAATAGACTATAGCCTGGACTATAGAATATACTATAGTCTGAACTATAGAATAGACTATAGTCTGGACAACAGAATAGAATATTTAGTCGTGACTATAAAGTCGAGTATTTTCTGGACTATAGAATAGACTATAGTCTGAACTATAGGATATACTATAGTCTGGACTATAGAATAGACTATAGTCTGAACTATAGAATAGACTATAGTCTGAACTATAGAATAGACTATAGTCTGGACTACAGAATAGAATATGTAGTCTTGACTAAAGAGTCGAGTATAGTCTTGACTATAGAGTCGACTATAGTCTGGACTATATAATATACTATAGTCTGGACTATAGAGTAGACTATACTCTGGATTATAGGGTAGCATGTTGTTAGGAAAAGAGAGCACATCTTAGCCGATTATAGCCAGAACTTTTCTTCGTTTTTATGAGCAATAGAGAAGACTAGTCTGAACTATAGCGGGGACTTTAGTATTACATTAAAAGAAGAGGAATAAAAATATGCATAAACATCTACATATGAAGAACTTCGTGGACGAGTTTCCTTACACGATTGAAAATCTTCTTGCTGGGATCATGGAGAGGCCTGCGGACTCCATCCGTGACTAAGGAACCTTTACAAACAATATACACAAAATATTAAATTCTTTTTATTTATTTTGGAAAATATTAAATATTTTTTAACATACCAGATGAATTGTTTGGCCCTAAGTTGATAGAATATCTATGGGAAGGATGTATTAGTAAACTTAAATCCACTGGAGATTGGCAAAATACTTGAACAGTAATAATAGCCATTATAAGGTAGACAAACTCAGTAAAGTATAATTTCATTTTTAAATAATTAAAAACAGATACTGGTTATGTTAAATTTATTCAAAATATTTATACCATTTCTGAGGTGAATTTTTACAGTCAAATGGGTTGCAATTAATTGGTGCTTTTTAGCAAATATTTGTAACCAAATGCCTGGTTTTATGTAAATGTGAATAATGGTTTGATAAATATTTACACTTTTGTTTCTGTTTTATGTTTTTTTGTTTAATTTTTTTAGAAATGTGTATAAAATGGTTTAATAAGAAGGAGTCTTCTGTAGACAATTATTTATGAAAAAATTTCGTAACTACTTATTTCGTAATATCGAAAATTTCGTGTATAATACGACCAGTACTAAAATGTTTCCCTATTATTTCGTGTATATTAAAAAACAATTTCGTTATGCGAAATCATGAAACTTTTTGCAAAATGTACGACATTATTCGAATATACTATTAGACTATAGTCTTAGCTAGAGAGTACATTATATTCTGGACTATAGATTAAAATATAGTCTAAACTATAGAGTAAACTATAAAGTAATCTGGAATATAGAGTAGTCTATGGTATAGTCCATAGAGTAAAATGTAGTGTGAACTGTAAAGTAGACCATGATCAGTAGACTATAAGTAGATAATAGTCTGGACTATAGAGCAACCTATAGTCTGGACTATAGAACAAACCATAGTGTGGACTATAGAGCAAACTATAGTCTGGACTGAAGGGCAAACTATTGTCTGGACTATAGAGCAAACTTTAGTCTAGATCCTAGACTATAGAACAAACTATAGTCCAGACTGTGGAGCAAACTATAATCTGGAAGAGTAGACTATAGTCTTGACTAGCAAACTATAATCCGGATTATAGAGTAGTCCATAGTCTGGTTTATAGAATAGTCTATAGTCCGCATTATAGAGTAGACTATAGTCTGGACTTTAAAATCAACTAATTCTAACAATTTTAAGGAAGAGGATCTTCCTTAGATTGTTTTTTTAAAGAAAAATTTCTATAGAGTGGCTACAGATTATATTATAGTGACTATAGTGTAGTTTATAGACTAGGTTTATAGAATAGTCTATAGTCCGCATTATAGAGTAGACTATAGTCTGGACTTTAAAATCAACTAATTCTAACAATTTTAAGCAAGAGGATCTTCCTTAGATTGCTTTTTTAAAGAAAAATTTCTATAGAGTGGCTATAGATTATATTATAGTGACTATAGTGTAGTTTATAGACTAGAATATAGAGTCTAGACTAGAGAAGAGTATAGTCTACTTCTTTAAAAAGTTTTTGGTATTAAAAATTGTCTTCTTTTAAGCAAATTTGTATATAGAAAAGTTTTACACTTTGTCTTCTTAAAAATCAAAAATTTACTGTTTCTTACAAATTTTTTTTTTTATTGAAAAATAAAATTTTTTATAAAAATTTTTTTTTTATTGAAAAATTAAATTTTTTGTAGGAAAAATCGTTTCGCTAGTAAATCACTAAACAAATAAATTCTTCTAATTGAAACGAATGCAAACATTCATATTAATTCAGAATTTAATAATAGATGACATAAGGAACGTTTTGATTCCAGCCCATTCTATTGTTTCCGTGTCTATTACCCCATCTGCCATGACCTCTGTCATGATGTCCCCAACCATGACCCCATCCATGTCCCCATCCCCATCTATTTCCTGGTTTTCTTTGAGGCTTCTCAGTTTGCTCTGGTTCTTCTGAAGGTTCCTCTGGTGCTTCTGAAGATACCTCCGGTTCTTCTTCTGAAGGTTCATCTGGTTCTTCTGAAGGTTCCGCTGGTGCTTCTGAAGATTCCTCTAGTTCAGTCGATGGCATAGGTGAAGAAATAGGCGATGAACTGGTAGTAGGAATGTCAGAAGCACTGGATGATGTACTTGGAGTTGAGCATGGTTCAGTGCTAGGCGAAGAACAAGGTGATTGTGAACTTGAATTCTCTGGAGCTTGACCAGACACTTGAACAGTAATAGCCAATAAAAAGCACAAATATACAGTTATAGATAATTTCATTACGTTATCGTTTCTCTTGATCCAATTGATACTGATTGTTTTTAAATTATACCCATTATATATACCATTTTTTGGGGGACTGCATGTTTACAAGACATATGGTTGCATTTAGTCGTGTGCGGTTTAGTAAATATTTGTAATGAAATGCACGGTTTAATTTGAAAGTAATTATTTATACAATATCGATTTTAAATTTTGTTTAATTAAGTTTTTATTGATTATTTTGTATTAAATTGTTGTAGCATTTATGTTTATTTATGTGTTTTTTATTAAATAAAAATTTGAGTTAAATATTTGCTTTTCAAAGAGTTTAGTTGAAACGGAACAAATAGCTTTTTGTGAAGTGAAGGTCACACAGTATTTTGTAAAAATTGTGTATTTTATGTTTTGTTGAAAATTGAAATTTAAAAAAAAAAAAATCGAGTTTTTAAAGGAAAATCGGATTTTTTTGAATTTTTAGTGGACTAACTGTTTTTTAGTGACAAATCAAATTTTTAGTGAAAAATCAGATTTTTGGTATATAATCAAATTTCCACGAAAAATTAATTTTTTTATTAAAAATTTAATTTTTTGTAATAAATGTAATTTTTTGCAATAAATGCAATTTTTAGTAATAAATTTAATTTTTAGAGAAAATTGGAATTTTGAATTCGATTTTGAAAATCTTAATATAATTTGAAAATCTGATTTTTTCTCAAAAAAAAAAAAAGGATTTTTTTGGTGAATCGATTATTTTTAGTTAAAATTAGAATTTTTAGTAATAAAATAATTTTTAATAAGAAAAAAATTTGTCAAATTTAAAAATCTGATTTTTTGTGAAAAATTAAAAAGGACGTTTTCAGACTCGACATTTCTCTAAAAAAATTCTAGAAAAACATGCGATGAGGTTTGTAGTGCGAATTCCAACCCATGCCACGGTTTTCGTGTCTATTACCTCTTCCTCTGTCATGACCTCCATGATGTCCTCTGCCATGTCCACTATCATATCCTTTGTTTTGACCTCTATCAAGATGTCCCCAACTATGTCCAAAAGCGTGTCCCAAGCCGTGACCCCAACCATGTTCCCATCCATGATGTCTTCCATGATGATCGTCTGGTTTTTCTGGTGCTTTATCTTCAATGGGTTTAGGCGTGGTGGTAGTTGTTGGTTTCAGAGAAGTGCTTGTAGACGTACTGGTTGAAGGAGAAGTACTTGTAGAAGTGCTGGTTGAAGAACTTGTTTCAGTACTAGTTGAAAAGCTGGAAGAAGAGCTTGTATCAGGACTGGTAGAAGAACTTGGGGAAAAACCTGGTGCAGTAGTTGTTGACGAGTCGAGTAGATTAATGTCAGTAGGGCTAGAAGATGAACTTGATGCAGGACTAGTTGAAGAGCTGGAAGTAGAACTAGGATCAGGACTGGAAGAAGAGCTTGGTAGAGGGCTGGTTGGAGAGCTGGAAGAAGAACTTGTATCAGGAGTGGAGGAAGAGCTTGTCGAAGATTCTGATGCAAGACTTGTGGACAAGTTGGTAGAATCACTGTCAGCAGGGCTAGAAGATGAACTTGGTGTAGGACTAGTTGAAGAACTTGCAGGACTGGTGGAAGAGCTGGACGTAGAAATTGGCGATGAGCTCGGGACAGGAGATGAAGTGTCAAGTGGGCTGGAAGAAGAGCTTGCCGCCGTACTCGATGGAGAGCTGGGAGCAGCAGTTGAAGGACTGGAACTTGAATCTTCTGGCGATTGGCAAGTGATTTGCTTAATAATTGCCAATAAAAAGCACACCAACACAATTGAATATAATTTCATTTTGAATTTATTCCTTTTTTTCAATTGACTGAAAGAACAGTCATCAATTGTTTCGATTAATTTCATTATTTATATCAGTTTTTTTGGGACTATATGTTTGCAGAAAAATTAATGCATTTAGACGTAAGCAGTTTAACAAATATTTGTAATAAAATTTAAAAAAATATTTGTTAACAATACAGGTTTAAAATTTGGTTGTTTAATTTTTTTCGGCAAATAAAAAATTTCTGTGGCTTTACGAAGAAAACATCTTCAATTAAACAGTTACTTGTTGCAAACGTAATTTCAAATCTATTATAAAACTGAAAGTGGTGAAGGTAAGGAGCAGAGTATGTTCGGTTTGAGCTGATAATTGTAATGATGAGTGTTGGGTCGACTCAGAACCAGCCTGAGTCATTTACTTAGATATGGACAGACACCTAGTATTGAAACTACAAATCTACAGATAAGTTAGTTGAAGTTAAATATAGATTTTGTAATCTGTTCTTAATTTTTTATTTTATGTAATTTTTTTTTTAATAATTAAATGTTTAAAAAATATATTGGAATTGATAAATGAATTAATAGAATTAATGAAACCTATGTTTTTCGTGTCTTTCCTCTTCACGCCTTTCCTTTTCCAGTCTTTCACGCATTTTGTTTTCATGTTTTTCACGCATTTCCTTTTCGTGTTGTTCACGTCTCTCCTCTTTACGCTTTTCCTTTTCACGTTTCTCTTCATTGCGCTTTTCCTTTTCACGTTTATCCTCTTTGCGCTTTTCTTTTTCACGTTTTTCCTCTTCATGTTTTTCGCGTTTTTCTTCTTTACGCTTTTCCTTTTCACGCTTTTCCTCTTCATGTTTTTCATGTTTTTCTTCTTTACGCTTTTCTTTTTCCTGGTTTTTCTCGTTCTTTGGTTTTTCTGGAATTTTATCTGCAGCGGGTTTAGCTGAAGTGCTAGACGATGAACTGGGAGAAGTGCTGGTAGTTGGTGCAGGGCTAGTAGAAGAACTATCTGAAGTGCTGGAAGAGAAACTTGGTGAAGGGCTTTGTGCAGGAGTTGTAGAAGAGCTAGAGGAAGAACTTGTTGAAGAGCTTGGTTCAGGGCTAGTAGAAGAAATATCTGAAGTACTGGAAGACGAACTTATGGAAGAGCTTGGTACAGTGGTAGTAGAAGAACTGCTGGATGAAGAACTCGATGCAGGGCTAGTAGAAGAACTTGTCGAAGAACTGCTGGCAGGGCTAATAGCGGAACTTGTTGCAGGGCTACTAGAAGAACTTGTAGTAGAACTGCTGGAGGAAGAACTTGTTACATCGCTACTGGGAGTCAAACTTGTTGAAGTGGTTGGTGTAGTGCTGGTAGAAGAGGAACTTGTGTCTTCTCCATTGCCAGAACCCTCACTATCAGACCCATCTGATGATGATGCTTCACTTGAAGCAATTGGCGATTGATAGGAGTTTTGTATCGAAAAAGCAAATAAAATGCCCAAAAACAAAAATACTAATTTCATTTTGAAATCCTTTTCTCCTTTTCTATCTTTCGAATTGACTTAATTATACTAAAAGATATGTTGATTTAATAATTTTCATTAATTCTACTATTTATACCAATTTTTTTCTGATTGCAAAATTGCAAATGAATTTAGACATACATAGGTGTTTTAGCAAATATTTGTAACCAAATACCTGTTGGCATTTAAACGTTAAAGGTTTGGTAAATATTTGTAATTAATATCGACTTGAGAAGGAGTTGCATTTACGTTCTTGGTTTTGTATTATATTTCAGTGAATAAAATATATATTTTCTATTTATTGTGGGCTGCAGTTCTATTTGCATTATTTTTTTTTTTTAACATCTTCAGTTAAAAAATTTATTTGCTGACTGCGTATAACCGAAATAAAACCAATGAACTTTTTTCCTAACTGAAGGTCGTTTTTTAAATATTTTCAACATATGTTTCTATTATTTGTTTTTGTATATATCGTTTTAATTAAACATATATCAGTTTGAAACATATTTTGTTTGCTTTTAAATTTTGGCTTAAACGTTAAGAAATACATACAAATTTGTAGATATTGGCACGTGTACCTACTTTCTAGATTTAATATAAATATTTTATATGGGAGTGGTTTGTAGTGCTAAAATATAATTTATTTTGATATCCAAAACTATATTCACGAACGAATTAGTTTGTTCATTAGTGTTCTTTGAAAATGGTCTTTGGATTTATGGATGAATTTTGAATTTATATAGACTAAAGTGAATATCTTTGTGATCTATATAATGCGCTAAAACAGTTTATTCGACTACTATGGGTTTATTTCAAAATATACAGAAATATTGTTTAAATCCATTAGAAAAAAACAACAAATATTTAACCACCAATTGAGTAAAAATAGGTATAAATAATGTCCAAATGATCTTATCATATAGAATAACATTTCAAAATTGTTTTAAGCCAAACAAGATCAATACTAATTATTTTTCAAAATGAAGTCATATCTGATAACATTTATAACTTTTTTCGTCAGCTTAATAATTATAAATTCTTCTCAGATCCCAACAGATGCAACCACAATATCTCCCAAAGTTGATGGTGATAATTATAGAGGCAGTATTACCACTACAGTTCCCAAAATTACGGCAAAGGAAAAGAGTGATTTGAAGATTAATAAACCCGCAGTTGAGTTACACGATCGTGAACCGACCATATGATACCCTACACTACTGAGTATGTTAAAAATGTGGATTATATTTAATAACAAAGCACTTAAGTTTCGAAATATTGTAACAATTTGCTGAAAAAAGTGATTTTCTAAAAGAGAGGTTATATGGGGGCAAGGGTAAATATGGGCCTATCCTTATAATTTTTGGTACATGGCTTTACGTTTACATTAGAGTTATGTATGCTGGATTTCATCGTGATACTAGTGTTAATTAGTGAATTATTCACCATCAAGTCATTTTCTGAAAGGGACTTTGTATGGGGGCTAGGGTCAAATAAAGTCCGATAATTACGAAAATCGGTAGAAAAACCGATTTTTTTTAGAGATTCTACAATATTTAACATAATTATGAATTCAAAAGCCCTTTCCGGGGGGTAGGGTTGTATAGGGGCTAGGTGAAATAATGGACCAAATTCAACTATTTTCAATAGGCTTCGTTGTTGGTCCAAATTTCAACAAAATATCTTCAAAATTGAGACCTGTACCTTGCGCACAAGATTTACATGGACAGCCAGCCAGCCGGACGGACGGACATGGCTTAATCGACTCAGAAAGTGATTCTGAGTAGATCGGTATAGTTTAAGGTGGGTGTTGGACCAATATTTTTGTGCGTTACAAACATCAGCACAAACGTATAATATAAAAACTTAAGAAAATGAAAATGTTTCTCTTTCCTAAAACTAACTAACTAACTAACTAACTAACTAACTAACTAACTAACTAACTAACTAACTAACTAACTAACTAACTAACTAACTAACTAACTAACTAACTAACTAACTAACTAACTAACTAACTAACTAACTAACTAACTAACTAACTAACTACTAACTAACTAACTACTAACTAACTAACTACTAACTAACTAACTAACTAACTAACTAACTAACTAACTAACTAACTAACTACTAACTAACTACTAACTACTAACTACTAACTAACTAACTAACTAACTAACTAACTAACTAACTAACTACTAACTAACTAACTAACTAACTACTAACTAACTAACTAACTAACTAACTAACTAACTAACTAACTAACTAACTAACTAACTAACTAACTAACTAACTAACTAACTAACTACTAACTAACTAACTAACTAACTACTAACTAACTAACTAACTAACTAACTAACTAACTAACTACTAACTACTAACTAACTAACTAACTAACTACTAACTAACTAACTAACTAACTAACTAACTAACTAACTAACTAACTAACTAACTACTAACTAACTAACTAACTAACTAACTAACTAACTAACTAACTAACTAACTAACTAACTACTAACTAACTAACTAACTAACTAACTAACTAACTAACTAACTAACTAACTAACTAACTAACTAACTAACTAACTAACTAACTAACTAACTAACTACTAACTAACTAACTAACTACTAACTAACTAACTAACTAACTAACTAACTAACTAACTAACTAACTAACTAACTAACTAACTAACTAACTAACTAACTAACTAACTAACTAACTAACTAACTAACTAACTAACTAACTAACTAACTAACTAACTAACTAACTAACTAACTAACTAACTAACTAACTAACTAACTAACTAACTAACTAACTAACTAACTAACTAACTAACTAACTAACTAACTAACTAACTAACTAACTAACTAACTAACTAACTAACTAACTAACTAACTAACTAACTAACTAACTAACTAACTAACTAACTAACTAACTAACTAACTAACTAACTAACTAACTAACTAACTAACTAACTACTAACTAACTAACTAACTAACTACTAACTAACTAACTAACTACTAACTAACTAACTAACTAACTAACTAACTAACTTTTTTGAATTGAGTACTAGAAAATTTGTGTTATATTAAGGTTTTTCATATAATTTTTCTATTTTTTTCGGTATGGGAGTGATTTTTTGTTGTAAATATCAATATTCAAAGCCAATTTTTCGTTATATCGATATAGCGATATAGCAAAAAGTAAAATATTTGTTGTTTTTGCTGTTAATTATTAAATTTTTATTAAAATTTCAATAGAAGTTTCGCAAATTTTATGTTTTATAAAATTAACCTCTTCTGTTGACCTGATTCCTCCTCCTCTGTGGTCTGCCATTTTTGGCATTCATCTTTTTCTTCATTGTATTCACTTGGTTTCTAAGTTTAGCTATTCTTTGTTTTTGAGCTCTTTCACGTTTTCTCTGGAAATTATCTCTTTTTCGTTGAGCAGCAGCCTTTCTTCTCAATAAATTGTTCATTTGTTTTTGCATTTGGGCAATTTGAGCAGCAGCATTATTTCCGGATTGATTGGAGGAGTTAGAGTTTGAGGCAGCTGGAGTTTTATTGCCAGCATTTGGATTTTTTGGATTAGTTGGTGCTTCAGGATTAGTTGGTGCTTCAGGATTAGTTGGTGCTTCAGGATTAGTTGGTGCTTCAGGATTGGTTGGTGCTTCAGGATTAGTTGGTGCTTCAGGATTAGTTGGTGCTTCTTGATCTTTGGTAGCATAAGTTTCCGCTACTAGGACAAACATCAAAGCGAATAATACAAAATACGTAAAGAACTTCATATTTTTTGTTAGTTGTAGTATTTTAACAATTTCACTCGAAAAACTGTTGCTTGGCATTCCATTTCGCTGGCTTTTTATATGATTTTTATTTGTTTATTTAGTTTTTTTCATTATTATTTTATGCATAGATCATGCGACATACATACAATCGTACATTAGGGCTATAACTTTCATATAATTTTTGAAATTTTCATATACATACCACATAGAATAAAAAAAGTAAGTCGAAAAAGTTTATTACTTTTTCCCGAGCGTTAAAAAAGTTACCGCGCAAATGCTTTAAAGTTTTCGATATTTAATTTAAACAAAAGTTAAAATTTATTACTTAAAAATTGGAAATTTTTGATATAAACAAGCGTCATTGTTTGATCTACGATATTTCAAGGAGAAAAAGCAAGAATATGGGTCTAATTTTGGTTATAACCCTAATGTACATATGTAAATATGTATAAATATTTTTATTTAAATTTTATGTGTTTATAATACTTTTCTTATTTGGATATCAATTGTTTTTTAACATATATTCATATTTGATGTATAAAAAATTTCTTTAAACAAGCCACCAGACACCTACAAGCTACAAGCTTATTTATATATATATTTTATACATTTTGAGTTGTTTATTGTTCCCAATACAATCAATTAGAAAATTAAGAAATTGTATCTTGTGTCAGTTACAAAGTGATCATAAGGATTTTCACATTCACAAGAAAAAACCTCCAATCAGGACCAGGAAAAGTCCTTACCGAATGATATTAAGAGAATTATTTATAAGAAATTTAAAATAAAATTCTAACTAAATTGTTTATCGCTTAATTTCAGAAGTATATGCTAGAATCTATTATCCACTCGTTTTACAGCAGATAAATGGTGAAACCCCCAATTAATGAAATAAAACAATTTCAATTGCATGCTCAAACCATATTAGGTCGTATCGATAATCAAAATTTAAATTTATCAAAATTTTATACAACAAATATTTCGTTTCAATATTATATGCTGAATAAATTTTTGATAAATTTAAAAAATTGTCGTTTTCGATATTTATTTAAAATTATAATTACAACAATTAATGTTCAGAAATAATAATATGATTGACTTTAAGTCATTTCTAAATCGTAGAAGATTCTTTTTTAAATTAGATTTCCGGCTACGAATGAAGGTTTAATTAAATTAGCTAAAAAGCCTGAAGAAGACGTGGGTGTCTTTGGGGCTGTAGCAGTTGAGGTGGTACTAAAAGATGGTTGAATGAAACTAGTCGTAAGAGATGAGGAACCGCCGGATGATAAAATTCCTGAAGAACCTGAAGGTAAGCTACCGCCCCAAGTTAAACTTCCGCCTGAACCTCCTGTACCAGCTATACTGTTTATTGTAGGTACACTGCCACTGATGCTTAAACCTGAACCTCCCATAGAGCTGCTTCCGATTGTATTTATGCCCGAAGTTACAGGTAAGCTACCTTGCCAAGTTAAACTTCCACTGGATCCTGCTGGTTGATTTGCTCCTGAACCAGTCATACTTATTGTAGGCATAACGGGACTGATGCTAATGCTTGAACTTCCTGGAGAGCTTATTATTGGTTGGCTGCCTTGCCAAGTTAAACTTCCACTAGAACCGGCTGGTTGATTAGCTCCCGAACCAGTCATACTTATTGTAGGCATAACGGGACTAATGCTACCACTTGGTACGCTTCCTTCCCAAGTTAAACTATTGCCAGATGGTTGATTACCACTACTGCCAGATGGTTGATTAGGTAATAAAATTCCAGAAGAACTGGTTACTACAGGTTGACTTCCACTTGTTGGTAAGCTACCTTGCCAAGTCATACTTCCACTTATACCAGATGGTTGATTAGGTAATAAACTTCCAGGAGAGCTGGGTACTACAGTTTGACTACCACTTGTTGGTAAGCTACCTTCCCAAGTCATACTTCCACTGTTACCAGTTGGCTGATTAGGTAATGATCCAGGAGAGGTGGTTACTAAAGGTTGACTTCCACCAGTTGGTAAGCTACCTTGCCATGTCATACTTCCACTTGTACCAGGTTGTTGATTAGGTATTGAAACGCTTGAGCTGGGTTGATTTCCACTTGTTGGTAAGCTACCTTCCCAAGTCATACTTCCACTGGAACCAGATGGCTGATTATTTAATGGACCAGGGGAGCTGGTTAAAGGTTGACTTCCACCTACTGGTAAGCTACCTTGCGAAGTCATAATTCCACTTGTACTAGATGGTTGATTGGGTATGGAACCGCTTGAGCTATCAGGAATGCTGGGTACTAAAGGTTGACTTCCACTTGATGGTGAACTTCCCTCCCAAGTCAAACTTTCACTAGTAGTAGATGGTTGATTAGTTCCAGGAGAGCTGGTTACTACAGGCGAACTTCCGCTTACTGGTAAGTTGCCTCCCAAAGTTATACTTCCACTGGAACCAGGATTTGCACCAGTCATGCCGCTTATCATCGACATAATATCATTTATGTTTAGGTTTGAACTACCTGTAGGTAAGCTGCCTTCCCAAGATATAGTTCCACTAGCTCCTGGTTTAGCACCAGTCATACCGCTTATCATTGCCATAATATCATTAATGTTTATAGATGGATTAGAACCGCCGCTTATTGTAGGTGTAGGAATATTACCACTGATACTTCCAGGAGAGCTGGAACTTCCAAGGGGACTTCCGTCTGGACCCACAGGTACAGGCATGCCATTTATCCAAGTTATACTTCCGGTGGGATTTGAACCTTGACTTCCAGGTGTACTTCCAAGAGGACTTCCGTCTGGACCCATAGGAACAGGCATGCCATTTATCCAAGTTATACTTCCAGTGGGATTTGAACCTTGAGTTCCAGGTGTACTTCCAAGAGGACTTCCGTCAGGACCTACAGGTACAGGTACGCCATTTATCCAAGTTATACTACCGCCTTGAGTTCCAGGTGTACTTCCAAGAGGACTTCCTTCTAAACCCACAGGCAATCCGTTTATCCAAGTTATACTTCCAGAAGGATTTGAAGGTAAGCTAGCCTCCCAATTAATACTTCCACTTGGAATTGCGTTAGAAGTGATACTGTTTATTACATTTCCTTCCGCATCAACTCCTTCAGTAGCTGTGTTGGGTATTATGTTAACGGTTAAGTCGTTGGCAGCAGATAACAAATCTGATGCTAAACCACCTGCAGACCCTACTGTTCCTAGAACTTTCTCAAATCCTTTTTCTGCTGTCGTGAGTATGTGTAAGGCACCATTATTTAGGTTGTTAATCGTGTCGATACCGATAGAACCTGTCTGGCTTCCAACTATTTGGGTTAATACTTGCAATTTACCAATAATTATTGCAATTTCATCCTGTCTCTGATCCAATTCATCTGTTATTTGAACTTTCTCTTCGTTTGAAGCTGTTGCCAATTTTTCTTTTAAGGCATTTACATCAGCTAATCGAGCCCAAATCAATTTTGCTATATCAACAATTGATTTTAATGAACCACTAGTTCCTGTTAACACATCTAACTTGTCACTTAAAGCATCCATTGTGTTCTCTAAATCATCTAAAATAACAGGCTTTTGATCGTCTGTAGCTGATTGCAGGTTTTGGGTGAAACTTACAATCGTTTTCACCAAATCACTCACATCGGTCAATTCAGCTGGTACATTTTGAGCTAAAGCAACTAAAGTCGCCTTAAGTCCATCTAAATCTGGAATAATTCCAGCTAAATTTGGGATATGTTCTCCAAAAGCACCATTCAAGTATGTTGTTATTGCATTCAACTTGTCGCTTAAAAGAGATATCACTTCAGGTGGTAAATAACCAGCATTTCCTTGCACAGTAGTTATGGCATTGTTTAAACCACTTTCGATAAATGTTTTTAATTGATTAAGAATATCAGAATATTTACTATCTAGAGCAGATTCCTCTGCGTTAAGAGCAGTTGCAATTGAATCTTTGTCCGTTCCTTCAGCTGCCTCCAACTGAGCCTTTAAGTCAGCCACTGTGCTTTCCAGCATAGTCACTTTTGACATATGAGCAGCTACGTTGTTAGCAGAATCAATAAGAGTTTGCAATTCAAAACATTTTTGTTTTAAAAGATCTTCCAGTTGCATCAAAGCAGCCTCTAGAGCTTGTTCTTTTGCCATAATTGCATCCTTTTCTGGTTCTTCAGCCGTTATCAACTGATCGTCTAACTCTTTCTTTATCTGTTCTATATCAACTGCCGCAGCCAACAGTTTATCTACTTCATTACTCAGAGTAAATACAGTAGTCTGGATTCCAGAAGGAGCATTTCCTCCAAATAATTTGCCCAACATAGTTCCAAATATATCAACGAATGAAATGGGTGAATTTCCACTTAAATCAGGTAAATCTCCAAAAGAACTTGTAAGAATATTTACAGTAGTAGCAGGTAGAGAGCTTAAATCAATAACTGGTTTCAAGGCTGCTTCATCCGTATTTGCAACACTAGGTACAACTGGCAGTCCAGTACCAGATATAAGTCCCCAAATACTTCCTAAACTGGGAAAGTTACTAATTTCAGGTATACTAACGACTGAACCTCCAGGTAAGCTGCCTAACCATGTTAAACTTCCAGAGGGATTTTGTTCTGTACTTCCAACCACAGGAATATCGCCGGGACTACCGACAGGTAAGCCGTTTATCCAAGCTATACTTCCACTGGGACCCTGTGTACTTCCAATGGGATTTCCATCTGAACCTAAACTGGAACTGGGACTGGTACCTTGATTTCCAGGTGTAACTCCAATGGGATTTCCATCAGGACCTAAAGGTACAGGCATTCCGTTTATCCAAGTTATACTTCCTGTGAGACTTGAACCTTGACTTCCAGGTGTACTTCCAAGAGGACTTCCGTCGGAACCTACTGGAACAGGCATGCCGTTGATCCAAGTTATACTTCCATTAGGACTTCCGGAAGAGGGGCTATCGCTAGGTGAACTTCCAAGGGGACTTCCGTCTGAACCTACAGGTACAGGCATACCGTTTATCCAAGTTATAGTTCCACTGGGACTTCCAGAAGAGGGGCTTTCGCTAGCTGGACTTCCAAGGGGACTTCCGTCTGGACCTACAGGTACAGGCATACCGTTTATCCAAGTTATACTACCACTGAGACTTCCAGGAGACGTGCTATCGCCAGGTGAACTTCCAAGAGGACGTCCGTCTGGACCCACAGGTACAGGCTTACCGTTTATCCAAGTTATGCTACTAATGGGAACTCCAGTTAAGGGGCTTTCGCTTGGTGATCCTCCAATGGGACCAGCAGGTACAGGCACACCATTTACCCATGTTATACTTCCACTGGGACTTTCAGCAGAGGGGCTTTCGCTAGGTGAAATACCAAGGGGACTTCCGTCTGAACCTACAGATACAGGCACACCATTTATCCAAGCCATACTTCCACTGGGACTTCCAGGAGAGGGGCTATCTCCGGGTGAACTTCCAAGAGGACTTCCGTCTGAACCTACAGACACAGGCACGCCGTTTATCCATGTTATACTTCCGCTGGGACTTGTTTCATGACTTCCCGGTGTACTTTCCAGAGGATGTCCGTCTGAACCTACAGGTACAGGCATACCATTTATCCAAATTATACTCCCACTAGGATTTTCAGAAGAGGGGCTTTCGCTAGGTGAAATTCCAAGGGGACTTCCGTCTGAACCTACAGGTACAGGCACACCATTTATCCAAGTCATACTTCCACCGGGGCTTCCAGAAGAGGGGCTATCTCCGGGTGAACTTCCAAGAGGACTTCCGTCTGAACCTACAGGTACAGGCACGCCATTTATCCATGATATAGTTCCACTGGGACTTGTACCTTGACTTCCCGGCGTACTTTCAAGAGGATTTATCCAATTTATACTTCCACTGGGACTTCCAGAACTGGGGCTCTCGCTAGGTGAACTTTCAATAGGTCTTCCGTCTAAACCTACAGGTACGGGCACACCGTTTATCCACGATATAGTACCACTGGGACTTCCAGGAGAGGAGCTATCTCCGGGTGAACTTCCAAGAGGACTTCCGTCTGAACCTACAGGTACAGGCACGCCATTTATCCATGATATAGTTCCACTGGGACTTGTACCTTGACTTCCCGGTGTACTTTCAAGAGGATTTATCCAATTTATACTTCCACTGGGACTTCCAGAACTGGGGCTCTCGCTAGGTGAACTTCCAATAGGTCTTCCGTCTAAACCTACAGGTACGGGCACACCGTTTATCCACGATATAGTACCACTGGGACTTCCAGGAGAGGAGCTATCTCCGGGTGAACTTCCAAGAGGATTTCCGTCTGAACCTACAGGTACAGGCACGCCGTTTATCCAAATTATACTCCCACTAGGATTTTCAGAAGAGGGGCTTTCGCTAGGTGAAATTCCAAGGGGACTTCCGTCTGAACCTACAGGCACACCATTTATCCAAGTCATACTTCCACCGGGGCTTCCAGGAGAGGGGCTATCTCCGGGTGAATTTCCAAGAGGACTTCCGTCTGAACCTACAGGTACAGGCACGCCATTTATCCATGATATAGTTCCACTGGGACTTGTACCTTGACTTCCCGGTGTACTTTCAAGTGGATTTAACCAATTTATACTTCCACTTGGACTTCCAGAACTGGGGCTCTCGCTAGGTGAACTTCCAATGGGTCTTCCGTCTGAATCTACAGGTACAGGTACACCGTTTATCCACGATATAGTACCACTGGGGCTTCCAGGAGAAGGGATATCTCCGGGTGAACTTCCAAGTGGACTTCCGTCTGAACCTACAGGTACAGGCACGCCGTTTATCCATGATATAGTTCCACTGGGACTAGTACCTTGACTTCCCGGAGTAGTTTCAAGCGGATTTATCCAATTTATACTTCCACTGGGACTTCCATAACTGGGGCTCTCGCTAGGTGAACTTCCAATGGGTCTTCCGTCTGAACCTACAGGTACAGGTACACCGTTTATCCAAGATATAGTACCACTGGGACTTCCTGAAGAGGGACTTTCGCCAGGTGAACTACCAACGGGATTTCCATCGGAACCTACAGGTACAGGCATGCCATTTATCCATGTTATAGTTCCACCGGGAATTCCAGGATATGGGCTTGAACCGGGTGAACTTTCAGCGGGACTTCCAGGGTAGGTGTTTTCTCCAGGTACATTTCCAACGGGACTTCCATCAGGACCCACAGGTACTCCATTTGCCCAACTCATACTTCCACTTGGACTTCCTGGATAGGGGCTTGAACCAGGTGTATTTCCAGTGGGACTTGTGTTTTGACTCCCAGGTAAAATTTCAACAGGACTTCCAGGATATGGGCTTTCTCCAGGTACATTTCCAATGGGACTTCCTTCAGGACCTACTGGTACAGGCATTCCGTTTACCCAACTTATACTTCCACTTTGACTACCAGGATAGGGGCTTGACCCAGGTGTACTGCCAATTGGACTTGTGCTCGGGCTTTCAGGATACTGGTTTTTACCAGGTGAACTTCCAACGGGATTTCCATCAGGACCTACAGGTACAGGTACTCCGTTTATCCAACTTATGCTTCCACTTGGATAAGGGCTTGAACCAGGTGTAGTTCCAGTTGGACTTCCAGGATAGGGGCTTGAACCAGGTGAACTTTCAACAGGACTTGTTTCAGAGCCTACAGGAACGCCGTTTATCCAAGATATACTTCCACTTGGACTTCCAGGAAGAGGGTTGGAACCAGGTGAGCTTTCTCCAGGAATTCCTGGATAGGGGCTTGAACCAGGTGAACTTCCTACTGGGCTTGTACTTGGACTTTCAGGATAGGAGCTGGGTATATTTTCTGCTGGACCAGGCGGGCTAACTAACCAAGTTATACTTCCACTAGGATCGAGACTGGAGCTTCCAGGCAAATCACCGGGAATAGGCATTGGCCAGGGGATATTTCCACTTTCAGAATAATTAGGCGGAATATTCGGAACGCCAATGGGGCTTTCTGGTAATTTACCGGGAATCGGCATAACTTCACCGGGACTTCCAGGTAAGTTACCGGGCATAGGCATTGGCATAGGATGCATTGGTGGTATCGGCATAGGCATAGGAGGCATAGGCATTGGCATAGTGGAAATATATATTGGCATATTTACACTTCCAGGAGAGTCAGATGGACTTCCACTAGGTAAGTTAATGGGCGTAGGCCTTGGCATTGGCATCGGCATATTTCCATTTATAGGTGAGCTGCTTCCAGAAGGACTTCCACTAGGACTTGCGCCTGGACCCATAATATATATAATTAAACTGGGATTCATACCAGGAAGGCTGCCAAATGCAGGAGAATATACACTTGGACCTCCTAGGGGTCCACCTATCATATACATTCCAGAGGGGCTTGTGCCTGAACCACCAGGTGCGCCAAATAGCATAGGTGTACTGAAACTTCCAGGAAGGCCAAATATCATGGGGACTATTGAGCCTGAACCTCCAGGTGTGCCTACATACACAGGTGTACTTCCACTGAAACTTACTCCTTGACCGGCAGGAAATCCATATGGCAGAGATGTGCTTCCAGTGAAACTTGCGCCTGAACCTCCGGGAAATGGCATAGATGTACTTCCACTGAAACTTCCACCTGATCCATCACCGTACCCAGACATACCACCTGAACTTCCATACGGATTTCCTATGTTGTAAAAGGGATAGCTCGGATAAATAGATCTCTTGGATATTTCATGGGGAATTTCGTCAGTAATTTCATCTTCTTCAATCTTCTTCGGTTCCACTTTGCTAATGTCGACTTCATCAACAGGACCCACTTCAGGTGCTGGCAAAACAGCTTTAGCCTGAACAACATAATTTTGTGCCGCTAGGATAAATATGAGTGCCGTTAAAAAATGCGGAGATATTAACTTCATGATTTATATTATAAATGATAAGTATTTCAATTGCACTTGCAATTCTACTGAGTTGTTGGAAATTCTATTGCTATTTATACCAAAATGTTTATGCATTTCGGATCAGAAAGCAGTCGGTTTATTATTTGTTCAGTTTTTCTTCAACATGCATTTGGTCTAAAACATACATGCATTTTTAAATGACACTGTGTTTAATTGAACACTTCATTGGGTTTTTTTATTTGTACTTATTTTGGGAAACAATTGTTTGTATAAAATAAAATGCAGACTTTTGTAAATAAATATATCTTTATAGATATATTTTACGTGATCTTTTTAGCTATCATTGAAATATAAAACGGAATTTTTACCTTAATAATACACTATCCCGTTTCAATTCCAATTAAATTCAAATTGATAAACGATTTACTCATTTATTAACTGATATATCAGATATGTGATGAAGTTAATTATTAAAAACGAATTCATCACAAATTTTCAAATCGGACGATTTGAAAGTGAATAATTCTTTAAATAAAAAGAGATATTGGAGGCCAAAGGTTACCAAAATCTGTTTTTAGCCAATATCTTGCTTATTATGCGACGTACGCAATTTGATGTTATTATAGGAATTAAATATTGTATAGTAGATTCGGGAATGTATTAGTTGCTCACCAGCAGCCTTCGTAAGGGCATTTATTATATCCTGCTCTTCGGTAGACTCATACATGTCATCATCTCCTAGAGTACTTAAAAGTACTGACACCGTCTCTGCGTTCGAATTTTGTAAGCAGTTCTCCTGTTTCCGTTCTCTTCATTTCATTTATTTCAACATTTCCGCCTACGTTATTAATTCATTTGCTCTAATGGTCAGGGCTTTTCCAGACGTTTTTACCAGTTTTTGTTTGCCGCTTGCAGTTTTCTTTTTTCTACTTTCGCGGTGCTTAACTTGCATCCATGTGCTTTCATCCGACTAATTCTCTTCTTTCTCGTTATCCGCCGCCTTCTGAGTGACTATAGTTTTCGGCTCGCAATTTGGGAATGTAGCTTAATGCTACTGAATTTATTATGCTCAGTTTATTTCCCCGATCAATAAAAGCCTTTTCTTCTTCGATCTGAAGCATCTTTAGACGTATATTAGTTTCGTCCTGTTTCGGGTGGTGTAAGAGTAGTTATACCCACCATCAAAAAAGATTGGGGCTTATTGATTTTGTCATTCCGTTTGTAACACACCGAAATATTGATCATAGAACCACAAAAGTATATATTCTCGGTACTTATTATTAAATTCTAAGACGATCTAGCCATGTCTGTCCGTCTGGCTGTTGAAAGCACGCTAGTGTCCGAACGGAAAGAGCTAGAAAGTTGAAATTTTCCACAAATATTTCTTATAGGTAAGGTTTATTTGGTATTGAAAATGGGTAATATCGGTCCGCGTTTTCGCATAGCCCACATACAAATGTCCCCTCGAAAAACAGCTTTAACAGTCATAACTGTTTTAAAAATGCGAGCATTGTAAGTCTTATATGATCCAAATGTTCTCTACCAAATATTATGAGGATATGTCCATAACTAACACTACCCCTCATATATGGTCCCCTCCAAAAAATTACTTTAACGCCCATTATAAATACGAGTCTATCGCTTAAATTCAATATAAGTAAATTTCTTACGAGCAAAAATCTATCTACCGAATTTTATGAGGATTGCTCCATAATTAACCCTACCCCCCATATAAGGTCCCCCTCAGAAAATTACTTTAACGCTTTGACGGCTTGAAAATACGAGTATAGCGCTGAAATTCGACATAAGTAAGTTTCTTACGAGTAAGTTTCCTACCCCCCATATAAGGCCCCCATCAGAAAATGACTTTAACGCACATTACTGCCTTAAAAATGCGAGCGAAGCTATGAAATTCAATATACAGAAATAAGTTTCTCACAAGCCAAAATTTCTCTAACAAATTTTAAAATTGACTCTACCGTCCATGTCTGATCATGGTTTAAAAGTTGGACAAAAATATTTTATTTTTAAAAATTAATATTTTTTTAATCCTAAAGGGATGTGTCCATAATTGACTTAAGCCCTATTTCAAATATCAACCTAATGTTTATAGGGGAGCATTCCATTTAGGGCATACGGTAATGGTGGGTATATAAGATTTGATGGTGGGTATACAATAAGATTCGGCACAGTCGAATATAACACTCTTACTTGTTACGTCTTCACATTTGTATTATCTATCCTAGGTGATGTCCGAACTATTGCCAAATGGGTTATCGACTTCCTTTTCATTGGAGCTTGTAGTATTATCTACTCCTCCAGCCAAGTTAGCCACCGGAGAAATATTATGGTAATTTGATTTCGATATCTAGGGGCCCGTTTTCATTATTATTCTGCAGTTTTTCATTAAAAGTTGGTCCCCAACATGAAATCAGATGCTGACCAGGAAGCCCTCCATTATGGATACCGTCGCTACACACTGCTCTGCTGGAGACTATTCCCAGTTAGTCGACATAACAACAAATCCACTACATACCTTTAGTAACTCCGTATCAAGTCCTGAGCACAGTTTTTAGTAGAAAACTACCCAGACACTGCAAAATCGAACAACCGACTCGTGGGTCAGGTATTAATGGGATAATGAAACTCGAATTCTAGGAATATTCATATGATTATACATATCAAGAAAATTATGTTAAAATCAAAACTTTAGTTTTTCTTTACATCAACTAATAAACCAAATGCATTAAAAAAATAATTAAATTTTTTTCAGTTAATTGATGTGCAGAAATTTTTGTTCAACAACATTCAATAGTAAATAATTGTACTTAATTAAACAAATATGTATTTTGAAACATCTGCAATATATTTAAAACAAACACATATTTCCAAAATATTAAAATAATAAAAAATAGATTAAACAATATAATACAATTTAGGTACATACGTTAAACAATTAACTCTTTTGTCATCTACAAATATCTTTAACCAAATGCATAATTCGAACAAACAAACTGAACAAATATTCATCTTCTTTATTTGCTGAACGAAAAATTTGCAGATCATTTTGCTATAAATACCAATAGTATTTTCAATTACTCAACAGAATTGCAAGTGCAATTAAAGTAATCATCTAATTCCAAAACTATGAAAATTATATCTCTCGGTTTGCAATTGGCATTCTTATTTGCCGTAGTGGCTCAGAACAATGCTGCCACAATAAAGGTCAAGAGATCTCCATTGAACTTACTCGGTTCAGTTACTGGAAGTAGCGGAGGTTTAACTGGTGGTTTAACTGGAGGTTTAACTGGTGGTTTACTTGGAGGTTCTGGAGGCTTAACTGGAAGTTTGCCCGTGGTAGGTGGTCTACTTGGAGGTTCAAGTGGAGGTTTACTAGGAGGTCTAACTGGAGGCTCTGGTGGCTTAACTGGAAGTTTGCCTGTAGTAGGTGGTCTACTTGGGGGTTCTGGAGGCTTAACTGGAAGTTTGCCCGTAGTGGGCGGCCTACTTGGAGGATCAGGTGGTGGTGATCTAGTTGGCAGTGTAACTGGAGGTTTACCTGTAGTAGGTGGCCTACTTGGAGGTTCAGGTGGTGGTGATCTACTTGGCAGTGTAACTGGAGGTTTGCCTTTAGTAGGTGGCCTACTTGGAGGTTCAGCTGGTTTGCCTTTAGTAGGAGGCCTACTTGGAGGTGCAGCTGGAGGTAACTTACTTGGTGGCTTGCCTGTACTAGGTGGTCTACTTGGAGGTACTGGTGGTCTTGATTTATCAAATATTGCCGGAATTGTACCAAACCTAGTCGGATCAGTAGTTGGAACTGTACTTAATTTAGTCGCTAGCCTACCAGTTGCTGCTGTTAATCTTATTTCAAGTATATTTGGAAATGTTGATTTAAGTGGCAATACGCCCATTTCTGTTGTCCATTTACTTGGAGATTCATTTGAAAATTCACCCCTCGGAAGTGTACCTGGCTTAAGCGGACTCCAGTCAACTTTACTCGCTCAAGGCAATGATATCGATTCTACCATGACAAATGTATATAATTTACAACAAATAGTCGATGGTCTACAAAAGAAGATACAAGCAACAGCTGATGGACCAGAAAAGGATGCACTACAAGCTCAATTGCAGCAAGTTCAAGGTGTTTTGCAGCAACAACAGGACCTCCTGACACAACAATTGAATGCCCTTAAATCCCAAATGGATTTGGCCAACAATGTAGCAGCTCAATTTGCCCAAGCTGCAGACATGGAAAAACACGTAGCAGACTTAAAAGCTCAGTTGAACTCAGCTGTAGGCGATGCAAAGGCCCCAATCCAGGCGGCCTTAAACACAGCACAGTCTGGTTTAGATCAGAGATATAATGATGTATTCAGTCAATTGAAATCGTTCATTGAAAATGGTATTGAGAATGTCATTGGTGCTGTACAGGGAAATGCTGCCAACTTACCGGGAGATGTTACAAATCATGTAGTTGAAAACTTAAATGGCATAACCACAACATTGAATAGTGTTTTCGGCGAAGATATTCCCAATATAGGCGAGATTATACCAGAGCTAGATGGTTTCAAGCCGGCTTTGATTGCTTTAGCCCAAAATATACCCCCTCAATTGGCTGAAGTAACTGATTTAATTAGTAATATAGCTACATTATCCCAGCAATTGCCTTCGGCTACAGGCGATGAACAAGCTGCTATATCCGCTGCACTGCAGCAAGCGGTTTCTAGCTTGGTCGATAAATTGAAAACTCTAACAGAATCATCTTCTGCTTTGAAAGTGTTCACTGATTTGGCAAAATTAATTGCAGCTCGTTATGCTGAAATACAAACCTTACACCAACAACTGTCTTCGGCTCCCGCTGATATGCAGGCTCAACTTGCAGCTCAATTGCAGCAAAAACAAAATGATTTAGCTGGTATTGCCGGTCAAATGCAAGGACTAATTCAAACTGTTACTAATAGCAATGCAGCTGGTAGCATTAATGCTGATACGATTAACCACGTTGTTAGCGGAGGCTCATCATTGCTGAATATTGCTAAGGTTGGATTTGAGACAGTTTTAGGTACGGTGGGTTCAGTTGTAGGTTTAGGAGCCGGTCTCTTATCTTCTGTTGCCGGCTTGGCTGCCAACTTGCTTGGCAATACAGCTGCTGCAGGCGTTAATGCAGTAGGTGGTTTATTAAGTGGTGTTACCAACGCTGCCTCAAACATTCTAGGCGGCAACACTAACATTCTGGGCAGCTTAGGTTCTGTAGGAACTGGTTTAGCTGGAAATTTATTATCCGGTGGTTCGTCTGTATTAAATACTGCCACCAATATAGCTGCTGCTCCTGTCTCTGTTGTTAGCTCTGTAGCACAACCAGCTATTTTAACCGGAGGTCTGTTTTAAAATTTCTCACAGCTCTAAAACATAACTTCAATTTTCTTAATTTGTAAAGCTCAATTTAAAATATGCATTTTTAATCATAAAGATTATTTGTAATTTGTGTGTAATAATTAATTTAAATAAATATAACCGATATAACGACCTATAAAGGTTTTGAATGCAATTGCTGTTTGTTTTATTTCTGTATTATTATTAGTTAAAAATCTTCCCAGCACAATCAGAATTTCATTCACAAATTGTTTCCATCCTTGATTTCAGTCGTGATATTTTTGTTTGTGATTTTAGCCGATAACTTCTTGCCTATTAAAATACAACAACATATAACAATGAAGCGCATGTTGTTGTTGTTTAAAAACTTGTTTGACAATATTTTTATGGGTTGTTTCGAAATTTTACTCATATCACCGTATTTTATGGATCAATTTTGCTGATGGTATTATAGAAGATATGGTTCCCAAAGATATCTGGGATTTTCACAAAATTTATTTCAACAAAATGACATACGGACATATAGACCATTGAATCTATCCATATGTTACTAAAATTAACAAATTTATAGCTGGATGTCTAATCATATGATACAATAATTAAATCAGGCAAATGTTTATGATATAAACAATAGTTATATATCTGAACTTTAAGAGCGTAATAACTATTTTGTGTGGGTCCTTATTAGATCTTACCATGATCTAGCGAAGTCCGTACGTCAGTGTATTTGTTTATCCAATAATTTTCTCTGATAACAAATCTCATTTTGTATTAAAAATCAAAAAATCGTAAATTTACAACTTGATCGTTTTACAAAAATACAAAGTAACTTTGCGGCAAAAGTTCACCTCTGAAGAACCAATATAGATCTGTACATGGGAACAAAATCATTATTACAATTCCAAAAAAAAAAATATTTTATAATTTTACTAGCTACACCCAGTGTGCTTCGTGCTACCCTGATCGTATATCTGCAATATCAAAAAGTCCCCTTTTAGAGATTTCATGTTTCTAGGATTAATATTACAAAAAATTCAGGATTAATATTATAAAAAATTCAGAACGAAAAAATAACAAAAAGTCCCCTTTTAAAGGTTCTCACTTAAACCGGGCTCTACGTGCCTAATTTCATGTTTCTAGCTTCAATATTATAGAAAATTCCAAAAGTACCTTTTGAAGAACGAAAAAGTACCAAAAAGTCCCCTTTTATATGTTCCCACTTACTCCAGGCTCTACGTGTTTAATTTCATGTTTCTAGCTTCAATATTATAGAAAAATCCAAAAGTACCTTTTGAAGAACGAAAAAGTACCAAAATGTCCCCTTCTACATACTTAATTTCATGATTCTCGGTACAATTTAATTTAAAACTCAAAAAAGTACCAGTCGGAGTATGGTAAAGTGCCAATAAGTTTTATCTAATAGAAAACTCAAAAAAGTACCAGTCGCATGACAAAAAAGTCCCCTTTTATAGATTCTCATTAACTCCAGGCTCCACATGCTTAATTTCATCTTTAATTTTTCATGGATCAATGTTATAGAAAACTCAAAAGGTACCTGTTAAAAAACGAAAAAGAACGAAAAGGTAATAAAAAGTCCCATATTATACGATCTCATTTACTCAAATTACTCAAATCAATTTTCCCTTTTTTTCCACCTTTTGGTACTTTTTTCTCCCTATTTAAGCAATAAACATTTTATTCCGAAAAGTTACAATATCTTAGTGGGAGCCCAACATTTAGTATTCATTCACAAGTATTCATGTACAAATCAATACGTAGAAAACATTGTTTTATGCAAAAAGTACCAAAAAAAGGTACAATTTTCAGACCTTAAATGATCCAAAAAGTACTAAATTCGTATTTTTATTTTTTCATTAAGTTATGAAAAATAGGTACAATTTTCAGATCTTAAACGACCAAATATCCAAAAAGTACTAAATTCGTATTTTTATTTTTTCTTTAAGTTATGAAGGAGTCAAAATATGTTTTGTATGTTCACTGGTTTGAAAGATACATGGGGGGCAAAAAAAGTACCAAAATACAGTTTTTACCAGTTTATTCTCTAAAGGGGCCGAATTTGAAAATTGACCAATATCCATAATAAAAAATTTAAATTAATCAAATCAATTTACAACAATATGATTTATTTTAATATTTTTCTCTGAATATATGTTTTAATATTTATTTAAAATCATTATTACAAAAAATATTATTAAAAATTAAGAAAAAAATTTACAAATTGACAAATTTAAGTTTATATGTATAATAGAACATTCGTAGGTTTATCGTTTATGTTTTAAAACTTGCTGCCTTTCACGAAGATAGGTTAACCAACGGTGGAGTATGTCATGGAAGATGGGACTACGCTGCTGGTGTAAGTCATACCAGAAGATGGAACCATGTTGCTAGAGTAGGTCATACCTGATGATGGCACTACGTTGCTGGTGTAGGTCATGCCGGAAGATGGCACTACGTTGCTGGTGTAGGTCATACCTGATGATGGGACTACATTGCTGGTGTAAGTCACACCAGAAGAGGGAACCACATTGCTGGTGTATGTAATACCAGAAGATGGAACCATGTTGCTGCTGTATGTAACAGTTGGTGAAGCGCTACCGCTAATATAGGTGCTACCACCAGGCACAATATTTCCAGTCAAACCAGTTGCTAAGTTGAAACCATTAGCTAAGCTTCCTGCTGCAGTGTTTACTAAATTAGCAGCACCATTGACTACAGTTCCAGCTGCATTGGTTACTAAATTAGCTGCACCATTAACTAAGCCAGCAGCTAAACCAGCTGCTGCACCTGCTGTATTTAAAACAGTTTCAAATCCATTCTTTGCTAATGATACTAATGGTGAAAGGCCATTGTTTAAAATGTTAATTGTATTCATGCTAATAGCTCCAGTATTATCGTTTGCAACAGTTTGGGTTAATTGCAACATTTTTGAAATAATGGCACCAAGTTCATTTTGTCTTTGATCCAATTGAGCGGCAATTTGAGGTTTCTGATCAGGTGAAGCAGTTGCCAATTGTTGTTTTAAGGCATTCACATCAGACAAGCGAGCAACAATCAGTTTTGCTAAATCAACTAAACCTTTTATAGATGAGCTTGTTCCTGATACCGCTGTCAAATTGTCATTTAAGGCAGCCATGGCTTGTTGGAAAGTAGCAGAAATAGCAGCTTGTTCTTCGGGTGTAGCTGTGGGGAATTTTTGGCCTAAACCAGCTATGGTGTTTATTAAACTACTCACTTGTGACAATTGAGCTGGAACATTTTGGGCTAAAGCAACTAAAGTTGCCTTCAGACCATCCAAATCGGGAATTAGACCACCCAAATTGGGTATTTGTTCACCAAAGGCACTATTCAAAGCTAATGTTATTGCATTCAATTTGTTGCCTAAAAGAGACATTACATCGGCTGGTAAATAAGGTGCTGTTGTTTGTATAGTGTTTATGGCATTTTCCAAACCACTTTCGATAAATGCTTTCAATTGATTGAGTAAATCACTATATTTGTTATCTAAGGCAGTCTCTTGGGCATTTAGAGTAATTGTTATTTGTTCTTTTTGTGCGCCTGAAGCGGCTGCCAACTGAGCCTTTAAGTCAGCCACCTGACTTTCTAGGAGAGTAACTTTGGGTAGCTGGGCAGCAACATTGTTAGCTGAATCAATTAGAAGTTTTAAGCCAGCGGATTTTTGTGTCAAACGATCTTCAAGATTACTGATAATAGAAACTTGTTGGTTGTACTTAAGCATAAGTGAATCCTTTTCTGCTCCCACAGCCGTTTTCAATTTTTCTTCCAAGTCATTCTTTAGCTGTACTGCGTTATAAAGCAAAACCAATAGAGTATCTATTTCACTACCTTGAGCTATAACAGTAGACTGAATACCAGCTGGTGCCTGTCCGCCAAATGAATCTCCCAATACGGTACCAAGTGAACTTACGATTGATATAGGTGAGTTGCCACTTAAATCGAGTGCAGAGCCTAAAGTACCTGTAAGGATATTAAGGGCGCTGGCAGGTATAACAGTGACTAAATTAAGAGCGGCTGCTAGAGTATTTCCAACAAGATTAGCAGCAGTATTAACTACGTTAAAGGCTGTGCCAGCTAAGTTGCCAACAGTATTACCAACTGTTTGAACCACACCGTCTAAAAGTCCACCACCTAAGCCTCCAAGTAAACCACCGGAACCGCCAAGTAAACCACCTACTATGGGTATACCTCCACTGGTGGTTGTTGAACCTCCCACTAAGCCACCTACCAAAGGTAGACCTCCAAGTAAACCACCGCTGCTACCACCAAGTAGGCCACCAACCAAAGGCAAACCGCCAAGTAAATTACCGCCAACCGAAGATCCTGTCGTACCACCAAGTACACCTCCAACCACAGGTAAATTTCCGGCCAAATTTCCTACCAAAGGTAAGCCTCCTACCAGTCCACCTGAGGTCGCTCCAGAACCACCAAGTAAGCCGCCCACTAAAGGTACTCCACCCAGTAAACTAGTAGATCCTCCACTGGTACTTCCACCAAGTAATCCTAACAGGGCTTTAGCCTCAGTGGAAGAATGATGAGCGACTAAGACAAATATTAAGGCCGGTACAAAAATCTTAGAAATTAACTTCATCTTTCAGATTTAGCTTTAAAGTTCAATTGCACTTGCAATTCTGCTGATTTAATGGAAATTCTATTGCTATTTATACTGAATTATCTATGAATTATCTTGATCTTTAAACAGACGTTTGGTTATTTGTTTAGTATTTTTTGTATGCATTTGATCTAAGGTACACAAGATTTCCTGCCAAAGATAATGCATATCGGTATCGAAATTGATGATGTCGATTAAATACAATTAATTAAACATTTTATTGTTTTCTTTTTTTATTTTTAAGCAAATATTTGTTTAATAAAACATAATGCAGACATTTTTAAATAAACATTGTATATTGTTACGTTTGTATTTTTTACCAATTAAGACTTTTTACAACTTTATAGAAATTTACATTTTATAAAATCTGAAAACTTAAATTACAAACTAACAATAAACCAACCCAAAATGAGTGTCTATATACGATTAAGTGATTTTCAGAAGTGGACTTTATATGTAATCCATACATATACACAACGTGAGTTATTTACAATTAAGAAATTTTTAGAAGTGGTCTTTATATGGGAGTTAAGGTGAATTATGGACCGATACGTAAAAATTTTGATATTAATCCCTTAAAAAATTCTCAAATTTTCATGGATTGGACCGATTTTACTGATTTTAAATAGCGATCTTTTCGAAAGCATGTCTAATAGAATTTCGGATTTCGCAAATATCTGAAGTCTTCTGAAAACAAATTTCAGCATACATACGGACAGACAGACGGATGGATGGATCTAGTAGGTCCCGAAATATATATACTTTACGTTATGGTAAAAATTAAACGTCAAAACAAACTTAAATATACCTTCTCAAGAAGGTGAAGAGTACAAAAAACTAAGAATGAAAACTAAATAAATAACCAACTTTATCTATAACAAGTAAGAGTATTCGCCTTTGCCGAATCTTATATACACTTCACCATAGCGTGTTTATTTTCCAACTTTACTGTTACTTTAGCAATAATAAAACATACAACTACACATACGCTTTTTCAATATTTGTCACATCATTCTTCCACAGAGGCTAAAGTCCTGTTGGGCTTACTTGGTGGAAGTAGTAAAGGATCTGCTAATTTACTTGAAGGAGTACCTTAAGTGAGCGGCTTACTTGGCGGTTAAGAAACAACCTCAGGTGTACTGAAAAGAGGCGTACCTTTGGTAAAAAATCTTGCCGGAGATAGGTGATAGGTGACTTGGTGGTTCGACTGGATCATCGGTTGGCGTTAATTTACATTAGGCTCTACACTCGGTTTAAGTTGAAATTATCCTATTTCAATCCTAAGTTCACTTGGTACCGTGTTGGGAGATTCATTTGGCGGAGACACCGCGGTAGTGCTTCACCAACTGTGACATATGTACACCAGTAACATGATCCCTTCATCTGGTATGACATACACTAGTAATACGGTTCCATCTTCTGGTATAACCTATAGCAGTAACGTAGTTCCATCTTCTTTATTTGAGGATCTACAGTCGATTTTAGGTTTTTCATATACAAATCCCTATGAAAACCTATTTTTAAAATGGGATTTTTATAATTGAAGTGATCGCAGATTTTCGCACTTTGAGCTTTATTTAAGGATCTACAGCTGATAAAAGGATATTCATAGAAATTGACTTTTAATGGGAAACAAGGGTGATCACCGATTATCATTATTTTCTCAATTGGAACATTATTTGTATTTAAAGTTTAAGTGATCTCAGATTTTTGAAATTTTTTTATTTAAAGAGTTAAATAGAAATAAATTTTTGATGGAGTTTTCTTAAGTGATTGTTTAATAAAATGTTTTAATTGTTTATTGAAGTTTATTACAATGGATTTTAATAAGTTTAGAAATGTAAATTTTCTGAAAAAAATTTAAAATTTTTTGACCATTTTTTACTTTAAAGCATTTAAACGCCTACAGGCAAGTTTTTAAAAAACCCAAAAACCAAATTTGTCAAATTCGCTAATTTAGCTTTTACAGCGGTCTCGACATCATTCAATTGAGCACAAGCTTCATTCTCCTCACCCAAAGCCGATTGACACAATTCAGTTAAATGATTCTTTTGTACAATAAGATCCACTAATTCCATAAGTAAGCCATCGAAACCATCAATGCTAGTTATATCGGGTAATATATTTAAAATGTCATCAGTACCCATATCTGGTAATAAACCACCACTCAAAGCTGTAAGAGATCTCTTAGGTCTTAAAAGTCCTTGGGCTACACCAAAAATAGGATGAGCTCCTTTGCTTTCGTCAAGGCAGCCTTAAAAGCTGCTATCTTATCTTTAATAATATTAATAACTTCACTGGCTATTTTGGCTGGCGCAGCAGCACCAGGAACAGCTTTCTCCAGCTGCTGCTACAGCAGCTTGTGCGGCATCTGCTACAGCTTTGGCCACATTTCGACGACCTCTAATACAGGAGCAACAGCTTCTTCTGCATCGGCAATATTTTCTGCAGGTTCAGCAACATCTGCTAAAGGATCAGCCACATCAGCTTCAGGAGCAGCTGCTTCGGCCACATCTGCTACAACATCTTCAACGGCACAAATTGTGTCACTCCGCCAAATATGAATGCCAAGAGAATAAAAACTGTAAATGACTTCATTTTTTTTTCTTATAGAATTGTGTACTCCCAATCGAAATACTAATAAAATTTTGAATATAATTTCGATATTTATATCAAATCATTTTGCTGCATCGCTGAAGTTATTTGTTCAGCTTTTTGTTATAATTATGCATTTAGTGTGTGTTATTGTTGTTATTGATGTTTCTTTTTGTTTGTATTTAAATAAATTTTTTGTGTTTTTAACAAATTTAATTAGAAATACATATTTGCTTAAATTATTTTGTGCAGACATTTTTTAAATCAATATGTATTTATAAAGAAGCTATTGTCGTCAATTTCAGTTTAATTACATTGATGTTAAACATGTCTTACACTTAAAACAATTTCGTTTATTAATCATCTAAAATCTGGAAAGTATTGAACGACAATTAACCAGAATATGATTCTTTTAGATAATAACACCAAAAGAACTCGTTGTTTAGAATCAAAGTTTACAACTTTGATTAAATTTTTAATTGATTTAATTATTGTTTTTACAAATTTGATAACATTTTTAATTGATTTAATTATTGTTTTTAATTTCCATAGTATAATTTTCTGATTCTCTAGATAGCGGAGTCGGTTAAGCTATGTTCTCTGTCTGTCCGTCCGTCTGTATGTTTATCTGTCTGTCTGTCTGTCTGTCTATCCGGCCGTCCGTCTGTCTATCTCTCTGTCTATCTCTCTGTCTGTCTTTCTGTATCTGTCTGTCTACCCGGCGGAGTCGATATAATTATTGTTTTTAATTTCCATAGTATAATTTTCTGATTCTATATATATATATATATATATATATCGGAGTCGATTAAGCTATGTTCTCTGTCTGTCTGTCTTTCTGTCTGTCTATCCGTCCATTTGTCTATCTATCTCTCTGTCTGTCTTTCTGTATCTGTCTGTCTACCTGTCGGAGTCGATTAAGTAATGTTCGCTGTCTGTCCGTCTGTCTGGCTGTCTGTATGTCCATCTATCTGTCTGTCTACCCGGCGGAGTCGATTAAGCTATGTTTGCTGTCTTTCCGTCCGTCCGTCTGTCTGTCCCTCTGCCTGTCCTTCTGTATGTTTTTGAAATCAATTATCTGAAGACCCCAGATATCTTTGGGATACAAATCTTCAACAATTCTGTCAAACATGCTTTCGAGAAGTTTCCTATTTAAAATCAGTAAAATCCGTTCATAAACAAAGAAGATTTGAACAAAAATCTAAGACACCCTCTAAAAAATTTGATCAAAAATTAAGATTTTTGTTGACTGCTGAAACAAAAATAATAAACAAACAACAACACATAGAGTAATGAGAAACTATAAAATGGGACTTTTTGGTACTTTTTCGTTCTTCAAAAGGTACTTTTTGAATTTTTGAAAGCGTAATTTCCATTTGCAAATTATAATAGAATTTTTGGTAAAGTGTTATTTATTAATTGAAAATATTAATTTTAATTTATTTAGTTAAAAACAGCATTGTTATTTGTATTTATACAGACAAAAGTAAATAATTGATGCACAAGAGCCATATGTATTTCTTGGAAATGTAAATATTACCTTTTAACGTCAACTAGTTTTTAAAAAATATATATCACAAATTATCAAAAAATTTTGACACTTTATAAATAATTACGAAATTTACAGTATTTAGTACATAACGTAGCCATTTTATTATAGGTGGACATTGTTAAATCGACAGGATAAATACTTACATTAAATTATTTTTACATTTTACATTTCAATCTCCTAATTAATTTATTAAAGTATAAATCAAAATAATATAAAAACATTACTTCAAATGCAAACCAACCATGAAACCAAAAAAAAAAAATAGCAACTACAAGTACATACTACTGTGGAAAACTTGTCCCTTAACATAAGCACCGGTTTGGCAAATATACTCTGTTCAAGACATATTGTCACTGTAAGTGCTCTAAACCAAAATAATAACATAATCATAATGAAAGTAATCACATTGACCAGCTTTAAGTCCCATAACAATAATATTATCATCTGTGGAATTAGCATTATCATTATAATAGTTATAATCAGCATCATCATCATCATGTTGTTATTATCATTATTAGGTTAAAGCTAACATAAACAAAAAGTTTTTTATAAATATGTCCCGGCTTTTTAGAACAGTTGTATGTATCCCTTTGATTTTCATTAATTTTACTTCTTCTTCGTGTAGTGAGAAAACCATTTATTATTTTACTACCCCTAGGTAAGCTAGCGGGTAGTCAAACGTCACTTTAGTGTCTCTTAGTGATCTTGAGGGAAATATTTTAAATAATTCAATCTTAATTATATTGCAATATTTAAACTATTTTCTTCCTTATCTATTTCTGAAAATTATATTAAAAATCCTGGTTTAGTATAGCCTCCCCATACTGCAGGGTAATTGAGTAACTGTTGTAAAATGCATGCGAAACAATTAAGTTCACATGAATAATA